CTTGTGAAAGAGAACTGTCTATTCAAGGACGCGCTTAAGCTTTATGGGAAATCCAGCCAGGAGCACCGGGTGAGTCGATAATTATGCGATTGAAGATTTTCATGTTCGTTCTGCTATTTTTCCTTTCTAATGATTTAATGACTGTGTCCATTTACGAATGGATTGGACCAGAGTGTGTATCCACCTGACTTAGCCATAAGCCCACTCAGGCTACCCATCAAAGACGTTGAAGATTAGCTTGTCTGTCTCGGGTTAATTTTGAAATAACTGCGTTATTTACAGGCTTTATTGGTTGCATATGGCGAGTACCTTGTTCAACAGAAAAGACACGAGGAAGCCGGACTAGGTATGTTATTTAACGTTTCAAATTTAGAAGAGGATAAATTTGCATTATTACCTATATGTGGTTGTTATAAATCTGCTTCTACCAAACCCTTCAGGTATAACCACAATGAATTTAGCACTTACTAGCCTTACCAGCCTCAAGTATTCACTTTCCTTTTTGCAGTATTTACCAGTTGTGGAGCTCACGAGCAAGCTCTATCATCATTCCAGAAGAGCGGAAACTGGAGACAAGTGTTTTGTATGGCTTCTCTGTTGCAGCACACCGGTGAACAAGTGGTATCATTGGCCAGAACAGTTGCAGGTGAGCTACTCACCTCTTTGATAGAACTCTCTTGTTCTTGAAACATCTGTTGGTCAGGATTAATGTGTTCGTTTGCAAAACTGTAGGTTATCTGAAAGGACATAAGCGTTCCCTTGAAGCCTCCAGAGTCTTGGAAGAATATGCAAAGGTAAAGAACTGCAGAGAACACAAGAGTCTAGTTATGAGTGATTGATATATCATCACTCAGGGTTAGTGCGTTTATCCCCGCACCAGCTAATGACAATTTCTAAACTCTTTTACACTATGCCTTAGATTTATGGTTTTTCATTTGAATTCCTTCTCTATTGTTACATTTTCATTCTTTTCAAATTTTGAAGACCTGCTGTTTCTTGGTTTGGATTTATGTCCTTGTGCTTTTTTGTTTGGTTTCGTAGGATCCTGAGGAAGCCATTGCTGTTCTTATCGACGGAATGCAGTGGGAAGAAGCTCTGAGATTGGTGAGTTAGAGAGTTTTAGGACGGTGTCCCTCCTGTACTATCACGGGAACTCAAGCGTATTATCAAGTCTCTGTAAGAATTTTTTTGAAGCACGCTTTCACTAGTCAAGTCGATGGTCTCGCTAGCACTAGCGGGACAGAGGAAGCCTGGAGCGAATGAGTGAGTGAGCGTGTAAGACTGGGGCAGGATTATTTTTCCTTTCAGACTTACGTGCCTTCAGTAGAGAGAGCGAATTTCCAGAGGAAAAAAGCGACATAACAGTTTTGCTTAAAACTCGACGGAACAGTTCGTCTCCTTTCGTGTGACTTATCTAGGGACGCAAGCCCTTTAAACTCGATGGGGGATGGAAGCGGTTTAAGTTAACTTAGGGCTAATTTTGAATAGCGTCGCCGTTTACAGGGTTCGTGTTTATGTCCCTTATAGATGCATAAACATGATCGGACAGATATTGTGGAAACACATTTGAAAGGCGCGTTGGAAGAAGGTTTGTAATAGTAATTTAACTACTACTTATCTTCGCAAAACGGGAATTTTTGATCATCTGCGGAGTCATCATTGAAGAGGATTCGCGGGATTTTTTTCATCCGAAAGATATATAAAAGAAAAACAAACAAACAAACGTCATTTCAAGAGTTGAAGGAGTCGTCATCTCTTTAACAAAGTTTAACCGAAAATATTTGCAAGGCTCACTTGAACTTGTTTTCCTTGCAAGAATAGGAAGCTTCAAGAATAAAGGTCGGTTTTTTTTAATTTAATTTTTTTAATCTCAGCCCATAACCACCACTTGAGTTCCATACAAGAACAGGAGGAATTGTTCAATAAATACACCAAGCGACTGAAAGTTGTCAGAGAACTGAAAGAACAACAAAGTGTAGAATATCAAGGTATAACACGACATTTTTAGGTAACTTTTTTGGTTGCTTTGGTCCATGCTGGTTCATTTGCCTGAACCTTTAAGTCAGCCAATAATTTCCTTTTTTCCAATCATCTTCGAAATTTTTTCGCCGGTGTCTTCCTTTACAGAGAGTGGACTGGCGCGAGATGATACGGACCTGTTCTCCGACACGAGCAGCGTAGGCGATAACTCGGAGTATGCCTCTAGCACCAGTTCCCGGGGGTCAAGATCAACCGGGTAGACAAAAGTCCTATTTTAAACTTAAGTCACATCTTTCCTAAACTTCTTTGCGGCTAAGTAAGGTCTGTAATTAAAATTTATTTTTGACAGGCGATCCTCCAAAAATCGAAGAAAAACTGCACGAAAGATGTACAGCTTGAAAGAGGGAAGTAGATTTGAGGATTTAGCCTTGATGGAAGCACTTTCTGACATTATTCAAACAGTTCACAAGACCACAGGTATGCGAGTCCAGTTCATGTATTAGCGCCCTATATATTGGATAAATCAAGGCAGGCCCATAAAGGGCGCGGAAAGAAGATTTAGGGGCTGAACCACTGATTCATTTGAGTCTGGTCGTAAAGACGCAAGCATAGACACAAGGCTGAAGTACGCATGTGCAGTAAAGTGTCAGTTATAACTAGAGTATCGTGGTGCATGCAACGTTATTTCCGATTACTTCATTTGCAGACGACATGGCATCCTTGCTCAAGATGTTGGTTTTGTTTGATCATGCGGGACAAGCTGCCGTCCTTCAAACCAACTTTGAAAAGCTAATCTCAATGATAGAATCATCGATCGGCGTTATCTGGCCCCCAGAGGAAAGCTCCACCAATTCAAGTCAAGTTTCCCAGGTACGTTAAGCCGAATGTAAAATTACCCAACTCTCTATCGATTTCTCAGTAGCTTAGTGGTAGAGAAGCGGATGGCGAAGGCATGTGTTCGGCTCCTAATGACGACTCAGATTTGTTCAGTTTGTACCTTTCTCGTTACAAAACGTCAGTGAGTCTTTTTAAAGTGATTTACTCTCCCAACCACGTCATTTCGTAATTTAAAGTCTACCCTCCGCTTCCGATAGCAATCGGAGGACAATCGTTCATCTTCAAGCAACAACTTATTATCTCCAAACGATCTTCGAGACTTGCAGAAGTACAGAGCTCGGTTCTTTTTCAACCATTTTGTATTACGTGGCCTTCACGATAGAGTTGGGTTTCATTAATTTTAATTCGCCTTTTTCCAGATCACAGGTCCAGGAGCTACTGTTAACAGCATCATTGCAGCGATGAGAAGTGATCAGAATACGACGTTAAATAAGCCAAGAGGTACTCATCAGTGTTTGCCTTTTTATTTCGTTTGCGATGGTACATGTTTAATTTTAAACATTTTAAACAATTTTAAATACTAGAAATCCTGAAGATGGCCTGAATTTGCTTTGTGCCAAAATACACAATTTACTATTGCGTGAAGCGCGGAAAATTTTCACTTACCCCGGGAATGTAAGAACGGCACCAAGCACGGGCGCTGATAAACAAATGGTTTCAAGCGAAGTAGAATCTTCAAAATATTTGGATCTGTCCCTAAAAAAAAGCCTAAAACAATCTTGGATCATTTTAAAAATCACTACCGTTATTTCTACCTGCAGATGAACTGCAAAGACCAAAACCTCCTCCCTTTAAAATAGCAACGAACTGGAAGCTTGACCAACTCCTGTCATAACAAAAGGCAAATCGTTCCCGAGAAAAGGAGAAACAGCGTGTTTCACGAGGCTTGAAGTTCAGTGCACCTCACAAGCAACGCTCTTATTTCAAGGACGTAATGAACTTTTGTCAAGGGTTACAGAAAGTAAGCAAGCAATAGATAGGGAGAAAGATCAAAAGTAATAAATGTACGTGGCAGGCAAGAAAGCGACAATTGCGAGGGTGAAAGAACACAGAAGTGAAACGACACAAGACAAGAAGAGTTGTTTTCCAAGCTCTTTATATCAATTGAGTTAAACACTTTATGGCTGATGTCAAGGCATGAGAGAATTCGAAAGCTGGCAATAAATTAATAAATGAACTCCAGTATGTAAAGTTTATATATATTCAGTGTGGTCACTCTTGTAACTCTCTTTGTTGTGGAGCTGGTTTGCCGTTATATTTAGCTAAGTCAACTTGGAAGGATGCCACCACATCTGAATTTGCAGTAAGCTTGATATCATTCGTTTTACTACAGAGGTTCTTGTTTCACATGAACAATGTTGAACCGTGCTTCACCACCTATCAAAGAGAACAAAAACATAGTTGAGGATGCGACGATATGTGACAGTGTGACACAGGTTTTGAGATGGCGCTACTGATCCTGGCTGATGTCCTTCAGGCGAAAGCAAGCCGTCAAGCATAAAAAGAGTTGGATCATTAAGCTTAAATATGGCGGTGTGCGAGCCGTATTCGGGATTAAAGGAGAGCTATTCTGATTGCTTCTGCTTGACTCAGTGTGCTCGCTTCATTAGCAAAACAGAAGTGATACTCTAAACATTTTACCTCGAGGATTACGAAGTTCAATCTGAAGCTGTTCCCTCTTCTTTTTCTCCAAATCCATCTGCAGCTTGTGTGAATCTGAAACAACAATTGAATCAAAGAACTTAAAATAATTTGAAGAAAATTAAACAATGACCGGTTTTATCGAGAATCGGATTTGTATTGGAAATACTACTAGTGCCTAACGTAATGAAGACTTCTTTCAGGCCCCGGTTTCTTCAAAGGGAAGATTACGCCATCCACTGGATAAATCTGTATCTGGTAGATAACACAATACGTTTTGATAACACTTATCCGCTGGATGGCCTTATCTGCCTTTGAACAACTGGGCCTGCGTCTTTAACACTTTGGTGATCTTGGGAGACATTTTTTTCATTCCCTCGACACATGTCACACAGATTCTGGAAGCGAAATAAATATATCATGAAGACCCTTCGAGGTAAAACTGTTATTCTAGATTGTTGTAAAGAAAAGAGCCTGCAGAAGACACTAGCTTACCGTGCAAAATCTTCATTTCTATTTTCTTTCTTTCGATGTTTTGTAGCAGTTCCGCATTGGAATCTGCCCAGACCAAAAAAAAAGCTGTCAATTTTAACATCGTAAAAATAGAACTAAGTAACAAGCCTAAGAAATGCGCGAAGCGAGTGCGAGCCGCACAAGAAAAGGGACGCAGTTTCTCTCTCAGTTCAATATGATAAATATCGAGTACATACTCCTCACTTGATCCAATTCTCGCTGAACTGCCAGCCTTTGCTTCCTCTCCCGTTTTATTTGTTCCTGATATGCGTCTTAAGAAAAGCAGAATTATAACAACATTATTTACTTCAACAAACTAAATCAAAGAAGATCAATTTTTAGTCTTCTACAGCCTGAAATATTCTTTAAAAAAAAGTCTGTCATTGATCAATTTTGGGTCTATTCAAGGGCTGATCAATTTCCTTTTGCTTGCAACGTTTTCTGGGTAAGGAATTCTTATATCATTTACCATATAAAATGTTCAGTTCTGTTTCTTTGTGCTGCAAGGTCTTCAGAAGGTCATTGTGGTCTGCTGCAAAATCAAGAAGAATGTTTTTAAGCATTGATCAAGTACAATGTATCTACCTGAACTGTTATAAAAATTAAAATATTACAACTCAAGACAGCCGTACAGGTTTCAAATTACCCCTGTGTTTTTTAGCCAACTGTTCCATCCATGCACCCTCACCGACTAAAACCTCCCTGGTTCTTTTGTAGCTATGATGGCTACAGTCTGGAAAAAAATTTTACATTCATATTTACAATGCTTTCCCTTACCACACTAACACACTAAGTAAACAGGGATGAAAAAAAAACCAGGAAAGCACGTCTCCACAGACACACAAAGACCGACGTAACAGCCGAGCAACTGATTACAAAGTGAGCTGAAGGGTTGACAAGCAGGCAGTCAGACAGAAACAGACCAACAGATTAACAGAGTCACACCGAAAGGCAGGTACACAGCAAAAAGGGAAAGAAACAGGCCTTCATAGGTAAAGAACAGATGAGACTGAATGACAGAAAATTGGTTTTACCAACTCTGAGTTGATAACATAGACTGGCCATTGTAAAGAGTTCCTCTTTATGGTGACCAACTTACATTATCAATTCAGTTGATAAAACCAAATTATCTCATAATACTCCCCATCAAGGTAGCACCACAGTTTGTTTAGAAACTTACCCCCTTTATTCAGACTGACAGAAAGACACAAACACACAAACTCTTGGCAAGCAAGCAAGCAATCAAAACCTAACTAAGCTGAGAGGCTGACAAAAAGATGGAGGCTAACTCACCCCTGGGAAACAACCAACCATTCCATTGCTAAATGAGTAGAATGTGAGACAGACAAACAAAGGAATATTATGAAGGCAAAAAGATAGACAAGCAGACAACTGAGCAATTACATACAGTTACACTGTCTAATAATTTATCCTGAGGGCTTACCACAGTTTGTCAACTTTACTGAAGTACCTGGAAGAGTCTGGCTTGCTCCACCATCACTTGAAATTTTTGAATGAATACTTTTACAAGTTGTGACAGCACTATTTCCTAAGATGTTGCTTGGATGCATCTTGGTACAAGATGGAGTGTCACAGCTCCAACATCTTGTCACATCCTCGACATTGACCTGACTTCTTTGATTGACATCCAGTCCTACTTGATTAACATCTCTATCATGTCTGCCAGGAAGATGTAATGGTGGCAAGTGATTGTTTGAGAACAATGGTTTAACTGGATGTAACTGATTACTAGGAGAATTCACTTTATCACTTGTGTAGAAAGTGATTGGAGTAGACTGTAAAGGATTGGTGGTGCCAGCCCTTGATGATGGTGATGGCGATGAGGGGTGGAACAATGTCTCTGGCAAGTCGTCATCGTCATCATCATTAAAGCTATCCACAGATTCTGAGTCATCACTGACAAAGGCTTTGAAAAGATCTGAAAAGGAATACAAGTCACATGTCTCACCATCTGCAGGATTTACATCATTGTTCTCTGTGCTGATGGACTCAGCATCTACACTTGAAATTCCACTAGATGCTGAGCTGCAGGCCACACTTTCCACTGCTATTGGAGTCTGCCACTCAATCAGTTGCAACCTGGTTTCATTTTCTGGTGTGATGTAAAACTTCAACACCTTATCAACATCTGACTTAGTGATGTATGTGCGCAAACTTGGCCTTTTCATCTGGGTCAGAACTTTCAGTTGACAAATGTCATTGTAAGGATACTTATACTTGACAATTCCTAACTTCTGGAGATTGTACTGCAACTGGACACTTTGGCCGTTCAAAAGCTGCACAACTTTGTGAACATCAGGCATTGACACAACAATCTGATCATTTACAATGAACAAAGGAATTTTCAAAGTTTCTTGGCCACCATGTTCAACCAGATGCCTTTGACTGTCTCCGCAGACATTGTTGACTGCATCTTCTAAATTGATTGGCTCACTCCATTCAATGTTTTGTAGAATTTTGTCTCCATTGTCACAATGATTTACATGGTACATTTGCAATAACCTTTCAGCATCAGTCTTGGTGATGTAGGTGCACAGTTTTGCTCTCGAACTCAGAATATTGTGTGATTTTAGCCGCTGCAAGAAAACTCGTTCAAACCTTTTTGTTGAAATGTTAAGGTGGTGCATATAATTTCCCACTTGCACACGTTGTTTAAAGATGTCAATAACAGCCTTTTGAAGATCAGGAATGCAAACAACAACCTCATCATTAACACGACAGGTACGAATTATATATCTGCATCTATTTGTCCCACCTCCTTGTGACATTGGGGGACTTCCACTTTGTGGCACAACATGCAGCATATCTGACAAATCATCCATTTCATCTTTCTTACCCAGGCCACTTTGCAAGTTAGCTCTGTGAGCTTCAGCACTGATTTCACTTTGACAGGTATTCAAGTTGAAATTCTCAATATAATCATAAGATTTATTCAATGAATCAACAGCCTCAGGCTCATCATATCCTGCAACACTGTTTGATCTTTGTGACGTTTGTCCCTTGCTAAGTAAATGTGATTCATTTAAATGTATCCATACAATTTTTGGTGGATTTTGGTTGAGGAAAGCTGCATTGTATTGCAGAATTCTATCAAAATCCTTCTTATTAATAAACAATCTTGCACAGTCACCATCAGTAATGGCAGTAGGAATCCCTACTCTCTCCAGCTTATTGGACATTAACATACTGACAGTTATTTCTAAGGTTGATAGAACTTGGAGTAAAAGGTCTGGCCTCTCAAAATGCACAAACAAGGAATTTAATTCAGATAAAGTAATAACTTCCTGGTTTTCGATCATATATGCATGAATCCTATGCAATGAGGAAATGGTGTTTTGTGATGGCCAAGTGATGTTGGAATTTTTATTGTTTCCAATATTGCTCTGCACACCTTGAACATTTACAGAGTCTGAATAATTATCACTGATTTCAACTGGAGTCAAAAAGTGTATAAACTTGGCTTTATTTGTGTTGCAAATTTCGTCATACTTCATAAGTATTTGACGAAAATCTTTGTCACTGATAAATGAGCATAGTTTCACCTGCATGTCCACTGCCCCCATGCTCTTTAATTTTCTCAGTTCTGATTGGCTGAATCTATGTGTGTTGATTCCATGCTTTCTCAACAAGTGCTGCAAATTACTGTACGACCCCCAGATCTTTAAAACTGCCTGGCATGCATCAATAAAGATGATCACAATTCTACTATTTTGAACAAATTGAGGTACACAGACAGCTAGTACTTCTCTGTTACTTGCATTGTGAGACTTGTTTGGCTTTAAAGGATTAGAATCAGGCTCAAACTGCTTTGGAGAGTTGTGATCCACTTCAGTTCTGATTTCCTCTGTGGTAGACCCGTTCTCGGAATTAGAATCTATAGCAAGAGGTATATTTCTATTGGTAGCCACTGAGAAATCATCATTTTCCCTACAAGGCTCCATACTGAATTCTTTCCTTTGCCTATCTGAAGTACTTTGCTTGGGGAAACCCCTCTGCTGCAATAAAACTTCAAGCGGCAAAACAGTAAACCATAAATGATCAAAAAACAAAATTGAGTATTTTCCATCTTGAATATTTTAAGGAAAGAAATTACTTCCAATCAGAAATATTTCATTTGACCTGGATGGAAACACAGGAGCTATTCTTTACAGCTCCTGTGTAGTGAGTAGTAAGAAAACATTTATCAAAAGTACTCCATGAAAATGCTGAGGGCCATTTTTTCCTTAATTTAACGTACTTCTTTAACAGAAAGTGTCTTCTCGGAAGCTGTGTTCAAATGCATGTAAATGGTGCATAATTCAGTTTCCTATTAAAACAGGCTTCCCCTGTCACTGGGAAAATATAACCTGATCAAATATGTAAACAACAGTACATACCTGCTGCACAGAGGCAAAAGAGGAATTCCTCGATGAACCAAACAAAGGAATAATAAACATTTTTCTTCTTTCAAGGACTTAGCGACCACTCCTTGAAAACCAAAGATCTTTGTGGCCTGGTTGGAAGCACATTTACAATCGATATAGTAGCCAGATTCATCGACATTTTATTATCATTTTCTAAAATCTTCCCCGGCCAAACCAGATAAGCTCGTTGCGGAAATTACTTCCTTACAAATTTCCTCCAAATAATTAGAAATATAACTAAGGCGTGACAAACTCGTCACGTATTGCGTGACTTAGTGGTTGTTCATTTCTACTCGTCTATGTGTGATTTTCGGTCGAGTTTCACCAAGGCACGTCGAATATTCATCGCCTCCAAGGCAGAGAAACGCGAAGATGTCTAAGTCTTTGAATTTGGGATTTGGTTACTTTATTGACAGTTCCCTGCAAACTGCTACCAAACGCTTTTCACACAAGAAACTTTGGTAAGTGGCGATCGAACAGACACTGACAGATCGATTGAATGGTTTTTCTCAAACTAAGTTAGACGATTCCATCCTCATTAGGAATGTTTCTCACGATCGCGTCCTTTTTAGAGGATCTTCTAAACCCAAATTTGATTTAAATTCAAACATTGTCATGTTTCGTCAAATCTACACGTTAATTAGAAAAACCATTCATAATTCTCAAGATCATTTTATGTAACTCTTGTTGTAACCTTCATTCTGATCATGACCCCGAGGATTGTTAATTTGTTAACCCTGGTTTACTGCTCCCTAATTCTTGCTTACAAAGATTTTTATTAAACGAGCCACTATTTCCTCCTTGCGCCCCTTCCTGGCAAGATTTCCGCACATCCCCATACTTCATTATGCATGCAGTTCTTGGATAAAAAAAAAACAATGACAAAAAAGTGGATTGCCTTTAGGAATACGGCTTTGTTTTAGGAGAGTTTGATTTTATACAGATATCTTCCCAAGTTCCTTGTTCAACAAAATAGAATTGGTATATTCTTGTCAATGATATACCCACATATTTACAAGCTGGAAAGTTAATTAGTAATCATCTATCTTTCATTCATTGGCCTCAAACAGTGACCCAAGTGATTGTTGGAAATTGATCATCAGTTAAAATAATAAATACACATTAAGTAAATAAATTATATGCTAGAAATCTGCAACTAACCAACAGATTGCCCGCTAACTGATGAATCTTTGACTCAACCTCAATTTCTTATTTGTATAGGAATGTTATACTTCATGTTGTGACATCTTGGCCCAAGGCTTGGGCTATACTATGTATTGGACGCAATATTCTACCCATCTCTCTCCAGTTGTTACTTATTATTTTGAAATGTCTCCTGTGTATTGCACAAGAGCCTCCAATGGGGGTAAGTGCTATTGTTGTAAATGTCATAAGTTTAAGTTTTAAGTCATCTATAACAAAGATCACTGCTTTTACATCCCCAACCCAAGACCCCTAGAGATTCTATTTGAGTTTCATTCTTTCCTTTGAAAAATTTAGCTTTTGAATGCCTCCAGGATGGATATGGATATATATCCCTGATACGAAAGTTAATTTTTCTCTTTCACACCCATACACTCTTGTTAATTTGAGTGGATCATAGAGTACACTGCAGCTCCTTGCCAAGGGCTCAATATGCTTCTTTAAAATTTTAACATTGACAAAAATAAGGCTTCATGTTAAATCATCCTTGCTCTTAAACACATCTACATGAATTAAATTAATGTTCTCTTTGTTTATGTTCATTTCTTAGTTTGTATATTCCATTCTGTACAATGTCTTGGCATACTACGCTGTATATATACACACTGGCGTAACAACTTTCCAGGCTGGCATTGTCATCAGTTTATGCCTGGTGCTTCAATTCTTGGGACACCTTCTCTTTGAAGGTGAAACTCCCCAGAGACTACCAACTAAAGAAGACAACTTGCTATTTAAAATACTGGATCTGGCAAATGAGTTCTTTCTGGCACCATTCCATTTCAGCTTAACATTGTTGATCAGGTTCGACTTTCTACCAATTTTAAGGTGGCGCTCAGATGCGGCATTACACAAACTTATAACATCAACACAAGAGATCAAGTATGGCAAAAAGTCACCATGAGATGCCAAGTTCAACCACACAACTTGTTTCAAGCAAAATTTAAGAACTTCTGCTGGAACTATGACACTGTGTCAAAGCTGAAAGCTAAGCACTTTTAGTTAATTTTTTACTTTCACCCCGGCGACTGAAAAGGAATTTCTCCAACATCAATACATTTCACAGCAGAGAGGTGTGGAATGAAAGACAATAATCAAATAAAAAATTGTTCCTTAGCAATTTTTCTGAGCTAAAATTAATAAAGTTAAAGGTGAATGGCAAGCATTGTGGGGAATTGTTACTTAGATCTCAAGAATGAAAGGATCAGTTTCTTTGTGTACTCAGTGTGCAGTTTAAGATTTATGCCCAATGTTTTGAACTTGATTCAACAGGAAATCAGCTGTTGCTACGATTTTCCCACAGTAGAAAAAATTCCATAATAACATAACAAGGACTGTTTTTATTGAACAACTGTTCGTATTTTACCATTTAGACTAGATAACATAACACCTCTTTATTTATGGAAGTCTCTGATATATTATGATTATATAAAGTAAGTTTTTTTAATTCCAGAGTAACATTTGATTACACAGTCTAATCATTCAGATGCATTTGATATCAACTTTTTCTCATTGTGGCCACACAGACACCCATGCTTCAATTCCTGACCCTTGCAAAATCAATTTTACAATTTACACCAAGAAACAACCATTACAAACTATTTGTTGTATAAAATAATTCATAAAATGTCACAGGCCATAATTATGATTTCCATTGACTTTGAAGTTTAAAAACAAAGTTAAAATCTTTACAATTTTCAAAGAAAGAAAATGATGTATTGCTTTTTTAATTTTCAGTCACTAGTCTTTGCAAATATATCTAGTTCTCTGATCAAATCTGCAATGAAACAGTGTTGTGAATTTTACAGTAAAAATATAAACCACATGAGCTTTTGTGAATGTGAGCCTTTCCTCCTTGAAAACTTCAGGACACTTACTTATACCTGACCCTAATATACATTAATTTACAGTAGCTGATTAATTAAAAAGAGATAAAATAGTTGTGACTTCTTTAAAAGGAAAATATATTAATAAAGAAGGAAATTTTCAAAATTTATGAAGAGTCTTCCAAATTTTCAAATTCCTCTGACTCAGTTGTGTCTTCAATCTCTTCCATGGTGATATCCATTTTGGTGATCAAGTCTTGAACTGGGACAATTTCAGGGAGAATCCACTGAACTGGGCGAGATGTCAGAAGGTACTCAGTCATAACTTGTGGAGGGACAAATACATAGCCAGCCAGCTTGTCTGTAACATCGGAGAGTGGCTGAATGGCCTTGACCACCACATTGGCCACACAAGAGGGCATATCCTTTATTGAGTGAGCCTGAAAGAAGCAATGAATGTTTGTCTGGTACTACATTTCAGAATGTTATACCACAAACAATATTGGTGTACAAATGGCTGTGTTCCTTTTGTTTGGATGCAAGCCACAAAAAAAACTGGCCAAAGTTCATCACATCAAGATGTATTCTTAAAGTTTCTGCAAAAAATAAACCAGCAAAGCATACAAAGGTTTCCTGAATGGTTGGACTTTTGCTGATTGGTTTTTCTTTTCTTACAAAAATATATTTTAGTTGAGCTAATGGGACTTACTAGAGGCAGAAATTGAAGACTTTAAAGTAGTTTGTTTTTCACAATAATTCTTCTTTGTACCTCACCCAATAGCCTGCACTTCATGGGGTTGAATCCAGTGTTGAATAGTGTGATGCATTTGTCAAAATTAAAACAGTTTATTTTGTTTTCTGATAAAAAATACAGCACTGCCAAGAATATTTAAGTCCAAACATATCAGAGTAGCCCACATATTTACCTGATTAAGAGCAAAAACTAGGTCCTTTGTACAGACAATCACTTCACCAGAAAGACCGAGAGCCAAGTTTGGGATGTACATGGATGCCTTATAGACTTTCTTGCTGCAATCAGATGATTTACCTAGTAAGTCATTCACGTGTCCCTGTAAACATGTCACCTGTTAAAGTGTAATAAACAAACTCACTCCATTAGTAACTGGCAAACAGGTTTCTACCGAGCACTAAGTGATCATATCTAAAACCTGTTACATACCACATCAACACTGATCTTCACAGGCCTGAAAGTCATCAGTTTCTTCTTTCCTCTACGTGTCACCATGTTCTTAAGGGTTACAGCCCTCAATAAAGCTCCTTTGCTGGCAACGTCATCAGCTCTCTCCAGTTCTTTCTTGTCCTCTTCATTGTTGCTGTCAGTTGGCAATGCCATTTCAGCAATCAACTCACTATAATCCAAGACTTCCTCTGTCTTGGCAGCCAACATCTGCACAACACAGCTGTTTTGTACTTTGCTGTAGTACTCTGTGGCAGTATCAGCCACAGTAGTCTTGATCTAGGAAAATTATCATTTAACCAATCACAACAATAACACGAAGAAGATTTCTACATAGCAGTTTTTAGTATGTTATAGATTTCAAGCAAATAGGGTTTACTCATATTCCCAAATTTCCTTCATGCATAATGACACCATTTTGTCTCTTTCAATTCAAAATCACAATATCAGACAACTTTAAAGTGCTAATATCCCACTTCGTTATAATAGAACCTTCAACAACCATTAATAGTTAATCTCCAAGTCACAAAAATTGTTTTCCTCAGTGCAACATATCAAATCAAAGTTGCTTTGTTGAGATCAAAACACAACAAAAAAAAAATGTCAACACATGATGACCTGATGCCTCTCGAGAGCTAAACATTTTTTTTAAAGACAAATTGGCCCCAGCAAAATCAACAATTCACCCACTGAGTGGGTACATTCTAAAAGATAATGTTGGTCAATATTCATTCAACATAACCAAAAATTATAAATCATTCTTGTCAGCCTGCTGCACACTTTAAGATCTAACTGCACTAGGATCCCCTAGAACTATGTCCAAGAAATCGAGTTTATAAATATTTGAAGTAACCCTCAAGTAATGAAGACAGAGAGTCAAGGAGTTATACCTCCGTGGGTGTTTTGGTCATGATGGGACACTTCTCTTCGACTATGGCTAATGTTCCTGATGCCACACGGTCAATGGTTGCAGCTATGATTAAAAAAAAAACAATTATTTTGAATTCAAAAAGAAAAATAGTTCTCAGGTGATTGATCACGAAAAGCTCTCTGCAGGGAGGGAAGGTCAGGGTTGAAGTTGAGAGGTTTCATGGAGAATAAAACAAATCATTCACGGAAAAATCCCTCCCTCCAAAAGAAAAAAAATTATGCGCAGAAAGAAGCCAAAAAAGAGATTGTGCTAGATATAGATAGTGGATCTATAGGATATGGAGAGGATCCAAGCATGGATAGTTAAAACGGATTCATAATTTAGAATTGAACACTACACAAGCTTTCTAGCGGAACGTTCGTTAAACAACCACCCTTTCTTCGCTTAACCTCGGTAATCGATTTTCCATTGTACAATAACAATTCTTTTGTTCTGAACCTACTTCGTCGTTATTACAACACTCGACAAAAATAATTAGTTGAAACACAATTAAAGTTCAATATCACTGAAGTAAATAAATGAAGCGATAAACAGAAATCGTTACTCGGAACAGAAAAAGGTCAAAGTACCCTGACCAAAGTCCATTCACGAACTGTTTCCTTCGAGGGAAATACGATTACATTACAAAATAAAGCGAGGACGAATTACTATTAAGGCAGAAGTCTAGCACAATCATGGTTGACAAAGGAGCAAGTACATTAAGGTACAATAAACAGTAAACGAGAAAGCTATCACAAACTGGAATACATGTCAAGTAAACATTTCGTAAGCGTCGTACTTCCGTAAATACGTCATCGAATGGGAAAAATTTTAAACTTACCAGCACATTCAACTGTTCCAACGATGGGTTTCGACAGCGAGCAAGTGCTGGCCGCCTGAATTATAGGTTTAGTGGCAGAATTCGCCATATCGATCGTTTTTTCACCGGCATTACAAGCCATCCTTGTGACACAATTTCGCTCCTTGACAGCATTGTAAATTTGTGATAGTTGATCAACTGCCGCCAGTGCCACAGGAAGCTCCCACAGACGAGTCGTGAAAGACTTGTTTTCTACTTCAGTACACATTTTTCTCGATAAATGGCCGATGTCCCACCAGTAAAGACACAAACTCGAGATTAAAACACAATTGATTGTAAATGATGTGCTCACTCCGATAAAACGATACAAGACTGTTTTTAGATCTGACTAAGTGACCACTCCTTCAAGAGCGGTAAGAGGACTGGGGAGAAACCCTGCTTCAGCAAAATCTGGAATGATTCTGAGTAGTGCCCAGCTCTCTCCAATAACATCTTGAACTACGCTGCAAACCTTTCGTTGACAAATTTAATAAAAACACGTCATACAGAAATTTCAGTTAAGTCTTAAGAATTTGTCGTTACGCGGTGGTGGTTGGGTTTTTCGGTGAGGGAACTTGTTCCCTGGAGTGGTGTATCATGGTTCGAGTCTTCATTGGACACGTGCCTAATTCTCTCATGGGAGTGGCTAGACAGGAATTATTTCTCGGATACTTTTAACTACTCTTCACTTCCACCTCTGTAGATAATCGAGTTGTTGGCAGAATAACAAGAAATGTTAACTGTCACAATTTCGTAGAGAAGCAAACAAAGTTTTGCGAGGGCCATCATGAATGGCACGTACAGTCCACCTAATGCAAGATAACTACTATGCACGAGGTAAGTATAATCACAGTTAGTTTCGGAGACCTTTGAGGTTGTTAGATGGGAAGATCCTCTTTAGCAAGTTGCCGCAATTTTTTTCATTTGTGTACATTTCCCCCAACAGCTAGACTGCAGGTATCGTTTTTCTCATTATTCCCAGGCAAACTGAAGCAAGTATAAGTTGAAGGGGGTGAGAAAGAGAAAGGAGCGTTTTTTCGTATTTTCTGAAGGATACTTCACAGTTGGTAATTCGAAAAAATCATGGTGCTGAAACTTGGAAAATGAAATCCAACCACAGAGGATAGGTATATATCTCAGACAAGCAAAACACAACAACCCTTTACAGAAAGACGTCAAACATTCTCCAGCTAGATAAAAACGTCTAACAAAGCAAATGGTTACAATACAAAATTTATTTATGCTCTTTCACTACACTCATTGACTCTTTATGTTAAGATTGTAAATATTTGTTTTCTTGTAAAACAATGTCTTCATATTATCATTACCATCACCAACTTAATCAAGATGTGAAAACTAAAAAAATTTTCAGAAACAATTGTTTCAACTTAATGCTATTTTTGTAAAACTGATTAAAACACTTAATGGCTGTAAGTACTTTAGTCTGGAAAGAAGGAAAATTTCAATCAATTGCTCATTTTCATTTGCAGGCTGATAGGAAACTACCAAA